GAGGTGATTGGGCTTCAAGTGGCGCCGGCGGGAACTGAGGACCCCGAAGAGAAGCCGGAAGTTTGCCATCTTACTGGTGGGGACCCTTCAATACCAATGGTGATTGTAGTTGATAACACTATATGTAACTGAATTTTGCTAAGACAGTGGAACTTAAATGTTCTCACCAAAAAAAAAAAAAAAAGGTAAATATGTAAGGTGATGGATGTAACAATTAACTAGATTGGGGAAATCCTTTCACAATGTATGTTTACATCAAACCATCACATTGTGCACTTTAAATATCTTATGACTTTATTTGTCAATAAAGCTGGAAAAAAATTATACCAAAGCACATCAAAATCAAATTTTTGAAAAACAGTGATGAAGAGAACATCTTAAAGGCACCAGAGAAAAAAGATGTATTAAATACAGAGAAATAAAAATAGACATTACTGCTGATTTCTCATCAGAAACAATAATAAACCAGGTGAAATTAGATTATCATCCTGAATGATGAAACAAAACAAAAACAAGGGGGAAAAAACTATAGAACCCACCATTCTCTACCCAGTAAAAGTATTCTTCAAATTGAAGGTAAAATAAAGACATCTGTAAACAAAAAAATCATGTGGAGTAGGATGGGCCATTAATCCAATATTACTGTGTTGTATTAGTTCCTTTGGGTTGCTATAAAAAGTCACAAATTGGGTAGCATAGAGACAACAGAAATTTATTTCTCACAGTTCTGTGGGCTGGGAAGTCCAAAATCAAGGCACCAGCATTGTTGCCTTCTGAAGATGGCTCTCTTCCTGTTAAATAGTAGGCAACTTCTTGCTGAGTCCTCATATAGTGGAAGGGGTAGGATTTCTCTGGGGCTTGTATTGTAAGGCACCAATCCTTTTTATGAGGCTTTCACATTTATAACCTAAGCATATTCCAAAGGCCCCACCTCTCAATACCTTTAGGGTTAGGCTTCAACATATGAATTTTTTGGAAGACACATTCAGATCAATCAAGTGTCTTCCTTTATAAGAGGTGAAGAGACACACAGACACAAACAGGGGCACTGCTATGTGACAGCAAAGGTAGACTGTAGCTCTAGACCTGCAAGCCCAGGAATGCCAGGGCTAGCTAGAAAACCACCAGAAGCTAGGAAGAGGCAAGGAAGGATTCTTCCCTAGAGGTCTGAAGCCCTGGTGACACATTTTAGCCTCTAGATTATTCTTAAGACATATTGTTTTATGTCTTAAGCCACCCAGTTTATGGTACTTTGTTATGACAGTCCTAAGAAATTAGATTATGTGACACTTGAGAAATGAAAATGTATACCACAAAAAGATTTATATATGAATATTTATAACAGTTTTACGCATAGTAGCCTGAATTAGAGCTGTAGGCAGTTAGATAGACATGAGCAGGAAGGGAGAAAGGAGGACGGAAGACCACCCAATCTCTAACCAGTCTCCACCTAGTCTCTGTTTAGAGACTGCCCTGTCTCTCTTAGACCAACCCCTTTTACAGTTCAGCACAAACTGGTAAGCGAAATATATGGGTCCTGGGACCTTCCTGATTGTGGCACATATGTACTTAAGGAAGACCTTGTTGCTAACGACACTGAGGCCATTACAATATCATTATTATATCATTTACACTGCGGTTGTGAGTTTTACTTGGATGCTCATGGGAAAATGATGAACACAAACTTGTGCAAAGAGGCTGAAGGGGTGGAACCAGGAGGTTCTAAAGGATGATGTAAGAATGACAAAATAGGAGGGAGAAAACAAATAACTCCCCCATAAAAAGACACAATGTAAAACCTGGTGGGCTGCTACTCACCCTCAGGGTCAGCCACTCTGTTTTTGGAGCATATTTTCCTTTCAATTTGCTTAATTAAAAAAGCCCTTTGCAGTGTCAACTATCAGGACTCTTGACTGAATTCTTTCCTTCAGGAAGACAAAAACTGAGGAATTCCACAATCCCAGTAACAGAGGAATCCCACAATCCACTGCCCAGTAACATATTCAATCCAAGTTTCCATCAATAGGTGAATGGGTTGACAAGTTGTAGTATAGTCATACAATGGAATACTATTCAGCATTAAAATGGAATATAGTATGGATAAATACAACATGTACAAATCTCAAAAACATTAAGCTGAGGCAAAAAAGAAGCTATATTGTAAGATTCTATTTGCTTAAAGTTTGAGGATAGGCAAAACTAATCTGCAGTGAGAGAGCAGTTTTGTGATAAGTTACACAGATAAGTGGCTGTAAACATTTGTCAAAGTTCATTGAGCTGTATACTTAAATTTTTATTTATGTAAATTGTACTCAATGTAGTTGATCAAAAATATATACTGCAAAAAGTTGAAAGGAATATTCATGGCAGCATTATTCATAATAGCCAAGAAGTTGAAACAATTCAAATGTCTATCAATTTGTAGGTAGATGAATAAAATGTGGCACAGCGATATGTATTAATCTTCTTAGGCTACCATAACAGAATACTAAAAATTGGATGGCTTATGCAACCGAAAATTATTTTCTCACAGTTCTTGAGTCTGGAAGTCCAAGATTAAGGGGTTGGCAGGTTTGGTTTCTCCTCATACCTCTCCCCATGGTTTGTAAATGGCTCCCTTCTTGCTGTGTCTTCACGTGGCTTTTCTTCTTGTGCATACAGAGCCCTGGTGTTTCTTCTTAGGACACTAGCCATATTGAATTAGGGTCCCACTCTGGTGATTTCATTTTATGTTAATTACCTCTTTAAAGTCCCTATCTCCAAATACAGCCACACTGGCAGTTAAGAGCTTCAACATACGAATTTGGAGGGGACAGAGTTCAGTGCATGACAATTTTTTTTCAGTTTTCATTTCTTTCCCTTTTGCTCATGTTTTCCTGACATCCTTGAAAATATTTATAAGAGTTCCTTTAAAAGTTGACTTTGTCATTTAATTTCATCATCTGTGTCATATATATAGTTCTGTATCTCCTGACTGATATTTCTCTTGATTAATAGGTCACATTTTGCTGACTTTCAATATCTAGGATATTTTTTAGAAAGTTCACCCATTTTAAGTGACGATTCAGTGGTATTTAGTTGATTGACATATTTGAGCAACCATCACCACAATCTGATTTTTAGGACATTTTCATTTACCATAAAGAAATCCCATGCCCTTTAGCAGTCACTCCCCATTCCTCTCGCGCTCCCAGCCCTAGTCAAACGATAATCTACTTCTCGTCTTCTATAGATTTGCCTATTCTTGCTGTCGTCTAGTAATTTCGATTGGATGTTGGGTCGTGGTGGACGAGCGTGGGTCCGGCTGTGCGCAGGACCCGGAGCCGGCTCTAACCAACGGGAGGTGTGTAGCTGTGGAAAGGTGGTGCCACCAAGCGGCCAAGCTCGGGGTTGGCTGACCTCTGCGGAGTGGGAAACCCCGGTCCGGCTGAGCACTACTTACTGCACAGAAGGTTCATTTGGGCTGTGGACCCCCTCTGTTCCTGTAACACCAGGTTTCTTGGCTGCACGGACAAATCAATTTTCAAACGGATGGAGCCTGGGAATTCCAACGCCAGGCAACCCGTGACCTACGAACCGCTCCAGCGCCGAAGCCTAGGGGAAGTGGGATAGCGCCCTCCTCCCCGACCAGCCCCAGCGTGGCGCATGCGGGCCGCTGTCCGCGGAAGCTGCTTCCCAGCGGACGGGTGAGTCCCGGAATGAGGCGGACCATTGAGACTTCTTGGCTCTACTACGTTCTCAGTCACAGAGTTTTTATTCTATCCCCAATGGCATGTCCCAGTTGCTGCCACTGTCAGAAGTATAGCCTGCACTGTCAAGGAATGGTCCATGAAAGTAACACATTGGTAAATTCGAACATGTGTAGGAATCATTCGGGGATGTTGATTTAATGCAGCTCCGAATTCGGTAGTAGGGGCTGGGGGTCCCATATTCTGCGTTCCTGGTATGTCACCACGCAACACGGATACTGCTGGTTCCTGACTGACAAGAGTAGTAAGGCAGCAGGGGGAGGTGATCGTGGATGGTGGCTGTGGTGACTTAGGAAGGGCCATGTGCATGCACCGAAATTTATCACTGTAGTAAAAGGTCAGGTTGAAGGTGACTCAAACCTGAGAGCAATTAGAAATGTTTTTCTTCACAATTTATACACAATTTGTTTTTTTTGTCTTTGTTACATATTCATTTTAGAAATCTTGTAAGTTTTTGTGTAGGCACTGATACTCATTGGTTTCAGGTATTATTGCTGACTTCCAGTTTTTTCTTTTACAAAATATTAGTACATAGCTCTTCATAGTCGCACCTTCTACGTGGTGTTTATGAGCATTCTTCAATGTCATTAAATATTTTTTCTCCCAACTTTTCTGAACAACTTCAAGCATACAGAAAAGTTGAGAGAATTTTACAGTGAAGCAGTGAAGGAATCTCAAGGGGGCGATGATTTTGCTCCTCTGGATACTGGTAATGTCTGAAGACGTTTGGGATTGTTATACCGGGAGGGCTGTTCTGGCATCTACTGAATAGAGCCATTATCCATTGGTTTTTTGTTTTTTTTTCCTGCTGTTCAACTTCCTACAGTGCGGATACCCTGCAACAAAGAATTCACTAGTCCAAATGTTCTTGGTGCTGAGGTTATCATACAACTCAGACCTTTAACATTTTATTCTACCAGCTTCGTCATGTATTTAATCCATCCATCAGTCTATCTATTTTGATGCATTTCAAAGTAAACTGCAGACATAAGCATTCTTTCCCTAAGTATGTCAACATGTGTAACATTAGGATTCAGATTGGTTAGTTTTTCTTTTGAGGTAAAAATGAAATACACATCTTAAATGTGTATTTGCTGAGTTTTCACAAAGGCATATACCTGTGTAATTCCAAACCCTATTAAGTTATAAACATTACCAACACTCCAGAAACTTCTTTCATGCTCCTTTCCAGTCAGTCCCCACCCAAACCCACAGACGTAACTACTGTTGAATTTTTTCCCTTCATAATTAGTTTTGCCTGTTCTAGAACATGATATGGATGGAATTATACAGTAGGTAAATTTGTGTAAGTCTTCTTTCAGTACAGTATTTTAAAGATCCATCCTTGTTCTTGTATGAGTTTCTTTTTATTGCTTAGTAGTATTCTACTGTATGACTATACCACTTTTTCTATTCTTTTAATGGAAACGTGGACTGTTTTCACTTTTTTGGCTATAATAAGTAGGGCTGCTATGAACATACAGCATTTCATTTCTAATGACTGTATTTCTTCAATAAGTATTTATTAAGCACTTACCATGTTCCAGATGTTTCTACGTTGTAGATATACAGTCATGAACAAGACAAAGATGTCCCATCTCTCAAACAGCTTACATTTGCACATTTCTGTGTATGAATGGAGGCTGGAGGAAGGGGAAGGAGATAAATATATAGGTAAATATGAAAGAAAAATACCAGACAGTGATAATTCTTGGGCAGAGAAGTAAAATAAGGTAATGTGAGTGAGCAGGTGGCTCTGTAACCTACTTTGGGTGTGAACAGAATTACAATAAGATACCAACCACGAAGGATCAAGGGGAAAATTATTCTATGCAGGGGAAGCACGTATTATAGTGACCTTAAGGCTGTGTTTTAGAGAATAGAAAAAAAAAGTGTGCCGAGTGAAGAAAGCTTAGTGAAAAAGCTTTTACAAATTATTGTATCAGCAGTAAAAGCAGGAGAGCCACTTTCCTCCCCATTTAACCATTGTTACTCTCGCCAATTCAACAGGTTAGGAAGCTACTTTAGATCTTATTAACAAGGACAAACATTTCTTTTTATGTTTTATGGCCAATTGGTCGTTTTATTGTGAATTACCTGTTTAAATTCCTTGCAGTTTTTCTATTGGCACCTGTATCCCCTTTTTTTTCCTTGCCATTACTGTATCTTCTCTGTAAGACTGGACTCCAGGCGGCGAGTATTTACTTCATAGCGGGCTTGGAGCTTTTTTGGCATTTAGAGTTTGACCGAATAAACAGTAAATATTTGAAAATTTCACCCTCCGTTGATAAGGTTAGTTCAAGAACATTTACGAACTCAACTTTATAAGTCGACAAGGCAGAACTAGGGGAACTGCATTAAATTTATATGTTCCCTCCTTACCAGCCTTCACATGTAATGTGTTTGAGTAAGGTAACCATCCAGGGGTCTCCGACCTTTGATCACCACCAGATACCATACTTTGGGAGCATTAAATAACCTCACTGTTAACATGCGAACGTGGAAAACTCATTAATAAACTCCTCGCCGCTGTTGCGTCCAGACTTCCTGCGCGAGCAGAGCGCAGGCGCCTATTTACTAGCGTCAATGCCGCGGGACGCTGGGTCCAAAGCCACTCCCCATAATGCCGCGTACCGGAAGTTGTTGCTTTTAAGGGGTCACGCTGGGTTTTGCTCCGTCGCTCTCTATTCGTCAGCCGGAGGAGGACGCAGTTGGCTGCCCAGCCCAAGGGCTCATTTGGGAATGCAGTTATGGGTGCTGTCGCCGTGGGTGAGTTCTGGTCTTACTGACTCTCATTTTACCTGCGCGCCGAGACGCTGAATTTCCTGACCCGACCTGGTTCCCTTCTCGAAGGTCCCTCTTTCTCAAGCACGTTACCTGGCCTCTGCGGGGTACCGCGTTTTTATTGGCTTCATGTCCTGTCAGTTCTAGGAGTTGGCCAATTGAGTTGGTGCTTGCGCCTCTCTTGACCCCGCGGACCCCGAGGTTCTCTGGTGGGTGCAGAGCAGTTTGGAAGGGAAAGGGAGGTGTGGCTGGGGCCGCGCGACTAGGGGTACAGTGCGGCTCGGGGCTGAGTTCCTGCCCAGTCCATGTGGTGGTTAATAGGAAGAGCAGGATCTGTCACCCAACCGGTTCAGTGCCCTAGGGTAGGTCAGATTTACGCAAAACTTGAAAGCCACGTCTAAGACCCGCTGACAAAGTTTTCCAAATGCTTCCATTTTTAATGAAACCGAGAGGATATGGGAAGACTGGAGGTGGGTAGGGGGGCAGAGAGGGAAGAGAACTGGATTAAAGGGAGCTTTGATTTAAATTTTGTGTGGAGTCCTGCAAAGAGTACTTTGGCTAAGAAGCTAATTCTCATCTGAGGACTTGTCTGAAAAGCTTAATAGGTTTACTATGGTTTTTAGCTGATGGTACTCTCAGTACTCTTCTCACGACTCATTAGGTGCTTTCATAGTTGCCGAAAATTTATTGGAGCGCTTTCCACAGCGTTGAAGTGACTCCCTACTGTCTTCTGCCTGCAGCAATTACAGTTCGTCTGTCAAGTTTTCCTTTGGAGTGTGGGCTGCTGCATTTCTCAAAGATTTGCTAGTGCCGTCTTCACTGCTGAAGACTCCTCCATTCTATACTTTTCTCTTTTTCGCTGGAACTTGTTTGCTTCATTCTTATGTATCTGCCTTTGCACCTTAAAATCATCCTTTATGCCTCAGGTACTATTCTCTTTGTCTATTTAAATATAAGAAGTATTTCTTGAGGACCTGCTAGTACTCACACAATGTTAGATGCTATAGGCAATTCAGAAGTGAGGCTTGAAACCATTTCTTCTCCTAGAACTTTAGATTCCAGTTAGAGAAATAGCACATGTCCAGGTTAAAGATTTAAGAAGCAGCCCACTATAGTATCTGATTAGGGAACAGAATCAATAGTGCTCAGTATCAAGGCTGGGGAAGTTTCTTTTGAGAGGTTAGGGTAGAATGGTTGCCTAAGGTTTCCTTGAAATTAGAATCTTGGAGGATTGGTAAAAATGGAAAGAAATCAAAGGCATAGAGGTTGGGGGTAAGGTGTTTTGGAGTGGAGGATACTGGAGAGACTGGCTTGATTGGAGTGGAAAGAGTGGTGGTTTTAGAACCCAAAGATCTGCCATTTAGCTCTCTCTCTGCCACCTGTGATCTTTCATCATTTAGTTTCTGCGTTTCCTCCTTTAGGGAAATGCCCTATTTGAAGGGTTGTGAATGAGAAAACTTTTTATTAAAGGGCTTGGAAGATCAAAAGTACCATATAATTAAACTTTAGTGATTCTTTGAGAAATAATGAGTCAGGATTACTAGAATGGATAATTTATAAAAGACCATGAAGACACAACTCAAAAGTGTGGCTGGAAAACTGTTAAATGCTTTTAATTAGGAGAGTGATGTGATAAAAATGGCATTAGAAGATACATCTCATGCCAGAATGCGGCATAAATTAGAGGGAAGAATTTAGGTGTTATTTTTTCCCCTCATATCTACAGTTCTAAATAAGATAAATCATGCTACTTTAGGATGAGAAAAAGTACATAAAACATACCCTTGTTTTATATGTACTCATATGCTTGGTGTTGTTAGTTGTTAATTCATTTATTCTGTAAACATGGAACCTTGTTACATTTTAGATTATCCTTGGAAAAGGTAGCAGTTACTCAATTACTAGATGTGGCACTCATCTTTTATATAAACCTTTTTGAATTATGTTTAATTACTCTAACCCATTAAGTCCAAAAGAGGAACACTTCTAAGACTAAGTCTGGGCAGGATGACAGTTAAGTATTAGAATTAATTGGGAAGTGTTTCCAAAACATATGTCCTAGGTCCTACTTTCCACTTATGTAATCAGAATTTAATAAGCATCCCAGGTAAAATAACTATTATAACTATTTAATTGATTTTTTGGTACTAAGTTGTTCTACTGTATGTAAAATACAATTTCTCAAAATCACTAAAGTTAGGTAGTCCTGTATATACTTTCAGCACTTTTCATGTTTTCTAATTGTCAGTTGTTGACTAAAAAGGTGAAGATTTAGTCTGCAGCTAGTTTGTCATAGTTTTCCAAACTGATTTTGGTAGTAATACAATAAATAGTTGAGAATGCAGTTGTAATCAATTCTCAGCTCATATCCATAGGAAATCCTGATGTTGAAAATGCCAAAGTTGTCACTTTATATTTGGCTTTGATACTGTTTTGTAAGTTTTCTGACCCCCTTAGGAGACTGTTTTTGGCACTAAATTTTTCTTACAGCAATTATCAATTTAATTTGCATAGATTGCAGTGCTAAGAAAAGCTGAGAAGGAAGGGAAATTATCTTAAATTTCAAAATGCCAGCAACATTCCATAACTTATGTAGTGAGAAAATTTGTAATAGTGTAAGGTGCTGAGGCTTTTCAAGAACTCTATAAGAAGACATAGGTTCTTTCCTGACCTTTGCACTTACTGAAAACTTCTTACCCTTTCTAAGAATCAGTTTCCTAAGCTATGAAAAACAGGGTAATAACTATCCTATTTGCTTCGGAGTTCTTACTGAAAACTAGAAGATATATGTGAATGGTCTTTGTAAATTATAAAGTGTGGTGGACATGCAAAATATATATGGCTTAGTTACATTATTTCCTAGAGAAATATAAAACATACTTTCTTTTTGTCAAGCTAACTTTATCTTGTTTTCTAGATTGTTATTTTGTGTCAGTAAATAATCCATAAAGTGCCAGCATGGGAAAGAAACGGACAAAGGGCAAAACTGTTCCAATTGATGAATCTTCTGAATTTTTAGGTATATTTCACCAATGGAATCTTTAAAGTCATGTTTATATCTATATATTTGTATATGTAAATATGGTATCAAAGTGTACATTATTCTGTAATTTGCATTTTGACCTAATGTTTATATCTACGTCATTTAATAATGTTTACAGTATTTTTAATGGCATGATATTCCAATGATGACCCAGGGTGCATATTGCTCAGTGTATTTAGGTACTCTGTTTTTCCAATGTTATGAATGGAGTGATAGTTAACATTTTTGTACCTAAACCTGTGCATATCCAGTTATCTTCTTAGTACAGATTTTAAAAGTAGAATTGCTGAATTAAATGGCATAAATATTTTCAAATCTTTTTTGGTTCAATTGTCAAATTGCCTTCCAAAAATGTTTTACTAATTTATAGGCCCCCTAGGCAGTGTAATAAAGGGCGCTCATTTTCTTGAACCAACACTGGTTGGTGTCATTTAAAAGAAATCTCTGCTGATTTGCTTGTTGAAAAAGGTTGCTTGTTGAAAAAGGTATCTTCTTTTTTAAATTTGTGATTGTTGTTTGTTTACTAGGAGTTAGTAGTTTTTCACATGATCCCATTTTTGCATTTCTTTTCTTTTGGTGCAAGTTCATTGTACATAAAGCTAAATGTGCCAGTTGGCTACTTTCTAAACATTGAGGGTCGCTGAGATCACTGAAGCCCTTTAGAGTGGCTGGTGAAGAAGCTCTTTACTGATTTGGCCCTAACAGGGTTTTCAGTCTCAGGCCCAGCTACTTGATTTTATGCCAGTCTGAGGAGGAAGCATGCCCTTTGCCCTTTGAGACCTCCATGTCTTTGCTCCTGGGATATGGCCTTTTCAGTTGTTCTTTACTTTCTGGGGTCATAGTTTAAAGTGTGAGCTTTGAAATCAAAATTATTTGAATCCAAATTCTGGCATAATCCCTCAGTGGTTATATTACCTTGGGCACTAAATCTTTGTGTTCTCATCTGTTACTGGGGATAGTAGTGTCTTTTTTCTGGGGTGGTTGGGAGGATTAAATGAGATAATGTCGGCAGAACATTTAGCACAGTGTCCAGGCTCATAATAAGTGCTTAGTCAATACCAGAACATTTTATTACTCTTAGTATCTTTGCAGACTGTACAGATGTTATCTTCCCTGTGAAACTTTCATTGGCTTTAGCCTTCTCTTCTTGTACTACTGTAGCATGTTTTGGAGATTTTTACAAATTTATTTATTTATCTGCCTCTCCTTCCAGAATGAGAACCACTCAAAGAGAAGAGCTATAACTTGGTTGCCTTTGGGGTCCCTGGGCTCTCCCATGGAGCTGGGCCTGTGATAGTTGTATTGTTGACTGAATGAAGGACCTTCTGCAGAAGCCTTTTAAGATAAAAGAGAACAATACTTATGATAAAAGGCCTTAATTTAAAGGAAATAAATAGATTGAAGTGAATTTGGGGTGGTGGTGGTAATACCTAGGACTTCAAACAAGCGAAGTTTCAAATTTGTATAAAATCTCTTGCTCACCTAATCATCTCATATATTTAAATATAAAAAACTTAAGTTTCCATATTATCTAACCTTTTGTTCAGAGTAAATTTATTTTTGAAGTTCAAATGAAGGGTAAGTTTTGAGATTAATTGAAGGCATGTTTTACCTCATTACTCCTTTATTATTTGTTTTAATAGAACCTATGTGCAGACACATTAGAAAAGGATTGGAACAAGGTAATTTGAAAAGGGCTTTATTGAATGTAGAATGGAATATTTGTCAAGACTGTAAGACGGAC